TTTATATATATATATATATACACATACACACATACATCATTACGTACAAATAAATATATAAAATATTCATAAACACGTATAATTATATATAATATGTTCATACATGTCCATACATCCTTCTTTCTTTTAGAAAATTACTTTTTAGTGTAATAAAAGTAATAATAATAATGAGAAAACATAAAAAATAATTGAAGGGATAGTTTTCATATTGTTTATTTTAGAAAAATCATAGATAATGTATAATTATGTATAGTTTTATATATAACTGTATATGAGCAATTGTTTTACATCTTATCAGTTGTTTGCATGATAATTTCCGAAATTCATAATAATGATGTGACTTTTACCATTAGTCAGCTAAATTATTTAATTGCATTTCCAATATAATTTCTTAAATCTGTTGTTTCCCCTTGTTGACGACAGAACTTTAATGGCAGAATTATCAATCTGTAATTTATGAAAATTAGTGAAAGTTTAATACCTTCAGTATTTGCGCTGCAATTATTACGTTATTGTTAATATTTTAACAAATAAAGCTTTCAGTTGTAAGACATATATGAATCAAGTCACATTCACACATCCATGTAAACATACAAAACTTAATATTTAATCATGTAATGATAGATTTAATTGCCAGATATCTCTTAAACGTCTAGAGATTATGACTTGCGATAGATTGTATCTCTGATTAGAGATATAACCAATAAAAGGTAATATTAAGTAATATATATAATAGCTCATTGAGAGAGTATATGTATCCAGAAATATCAGAAAAATACTTATTTTTGAGAATTTTTTACAAAAATTATAAGCTTTATCAAAAAAGTATGTAATCATAATATAATATCTGACGTATATTAGTGCGTGAAAAAAATGTTACATAAAATTTTTAATTAAAATAAATTTAAAATTAAAAATAAAATTTTATCCTTTTAATCAAAGCCTTAAATTAAGTATGCACTAATTTGTACATTGTCTCTTATTTGATGCAAGGCGAATTTATGCAGCTTGATTTCAAAGAAACAGAATACGAGAGAAACAGAATTTGCGTACTTCAAAATTATTAAATATATCTTTCTGAACATACGTATACAGGTTGTTTTAAAATTTAATGTATTTTTCCGGTTCACGAATATTGTACAATCATTATAACAACATTTTTGATGAGAAAAAGTGAACTTTTTAAAATTTTATTTTTAGTAACATTTTATATATAAAAGTATAACGTCATCTAAAAATTAATTTTACAAAATATTTTAGAGAAAATATTTACTCTAATTCCCGTATTTCGATACAAGAAATGAAAAATATACAATATTAATTCTATGATAATTTTATCTTGACATTTTCAGGCATTTCAAAACAGAAAAATTACTGTAAAGTTGATTTAATTATACACTAAATAATAATATTTATTGACTACTAGCAATTAAGATATATGTACTAATGACCTTAAATACATATATGATGCTATACATATTTTTGTATCGGACATCGACAACGTTCTCAGTTTTCGATTACCTCTCGAAAAGATAAGATTGTAGGTGTATATTTTTGATACTAACAACTTATCAGATTGTGTTAAACACAGTTAATTATTTCGAACATCTTAGGTGTACAATTTTAATACACAAGGTGAGTCGCCAAAAGTATAACATATATGTCAGATCCGTATATATAATCGCTAGAATACATAATTTATAATCAAGCAGATGCATATTATTTTTTTAGTTAAATTTATTTTTTTAATAATAAGAATCACTTTTTATTTTTGTTTCTTCCGAATTGTAATAGTTTATATATTTCTATTGCCTTTTTTATATTTTAAAGCTTATGAAAAGAGTTCTGCATTATGTTATATTTTTTAAATGTTCCTACGGACATCTCAAACGAAAATTGGCTTAATATTTTTAAAACTGTGTTACTAATTAACGATCTAGTAATCAATTTGGCCAAGACGAATTACAAAAGCTAATGTAGTTTATCCGTTTTCTACTTTCTTTAGATATTAAGGTTACATTCCAAAATATTTTATCTAAGATAATATTACTTGATATAATATATGTTACATACTATATATTATGAGTAAAAGTTTAGATCGTTTTAGAATGTATCTTAAATTATGATCATGGATGTAGTGTTATAAATAAATTTTGTCAATCTCATTTTGTCATCAAGCGTAGGATACATTTGAATAATTCGAAAGGAAGAATACAAAATATATATATATTTCGCATTTTCCATATTTCATTCTATACCTTTTTCTGAGCTAGATGATTTTTTATGATAAATTGATTATACAATACGTGAATATATAATGCAAATGCTAATTTTTCTATTTAAGAATAAATATATTTATTTAATTTTCTTGATTTGTTCGTATTACTGTCCGTTAGCTTTCCTAAATGCTAATTTTTGTTATAAGATTAAATAAAATATTATAAAATTTGAAGAAGCTATACATTTATATAATCATAAAGTTATGTATCATAGAAACATTCAAACATACAATAATTTATATTCGATTCATATTAGATCGACGTTCTCATGTCAGTTAGACGTAAAAGTAAGATGACGTGTTCAAAGAAATTTAAGTAAATTTGATTTTACTTTAATCGAGTTTGTTTGCTATTAGATCACATAATATTTAATTATTTTGTTTAAAACAAATGACAAATAAATCTTGAAAGTAACAAGTAATTACACAAATATAGAAAATCAGTGTTATTTAATTAATTAGTATTTAATTAATAAATAATTATTTAATATTTATTGTTTAATAATATTTATTAATCAATATTATTAAATAATGTTATAATAAACTAAATATTAACACTTGTTATGAATCTCTGTTAAATAATAAATTGCCAAAAATTTTTTTAATGTCATTTAATAAAAATTAATATAGCATTTTTGTATCCCTTTTCTGCTTTTTACGTACAAAATTATGATAAACTAGACTTCGCTGCGTTTCGCAAATAAATTTTTGTTATCCATTAAAAAAATTTCTACAGATATCTGCAATGGAAATTGGTATAGGATTCTTAATACTGTTATTAAATAGTGGCCTCTTATTTTTTGGTGCGGCAGATCTAATTTACATTAATCATCACAAATATGAACGCTTGATAAAATTTTGGACAGAGCCAAATTTACCGGGCCATATATATCCGATACGCTATACAATCCATTTACAACTTCATGATATAAACAAAAATATCTCTGCTCACGGCGAATGCACAATCGATGTGAAAATTAATAGTCCAACGCGAAATATATATTTACACGCGGATGTATTACAAATACGAGAATTAAAATTTAAAGGATTGAAAACAGCAGCATATAGAGATCGATATAAATTGGAGAGTCATCCAGTAGTCAGTACATATTATAGAGAAAATAATGTCTGGGCCTTTATCTTCGAAACGGAAATATCACCTGGTTTTTACAGCCTATATTTGACATTCGCGTATTTAGAAGTAGACAATAAAGGGCCTTTCAGAACATCATTTATAAATGATGAAGGAGATACAATGTAAGTAAAAATTAAAATGTTATAAGCGGATTGATATATTCAATTGAATATTTATAATTATGTAAAATATATCGTTAAAATGTAACAGACGGTTAGCCGCATTAGATTTTCTGCCAATTGGGGCCCGACGAATATTTCCTTGTTTGGATGAACCACGATTTCGGGCATCTTTTGATATTTTTATAAGATATAATTATGTAAATTATACGATTTTATCGAATACACCAGTTATAGGTCCAGTAGGTGTATTTCACACTATGGAAACGGTACGTTTTGTTACTCCTGAAATTCCAACATATCACGTCTCAGCAATACTGCTATCGCATTTCACCACAGTGAAATCATTGTATTTTGAAAGTAAGAGAATTATACATTTGTAATCTTAACACATTTTTAATGAATGATTTTTTAATGAATAATTTCTTCTTTGTTATCAGTTTCTAGAATATCTTTTGAAACTAAGAATATATTCTTTAACTAATTCTTTTAAATTCCAACTTCATGATGATCGATCTATTTGTGTTTTCGCCAAATAGCCTACTCATTTTCCACAGAATACGTTTCACTTGGTATTTGCAATATTTTTAAAAAATTATAGTGCAGTGTTTAGTGTTGGTCAAATCTGATTAATTTTGATGAATGAGAAAATAATAAAAGGACATAAAAAAGAAGACTTTCAATAGTTGATTTAATAGATGTTTATAAGTAAATTTCTGAGATATATTTAATGCATGATATACATTATATTAGAAGCGCACCCTAACACAAATGCCTGGCCATGCCCTTTTATGACTTCTCATTCCTTTTCATGCCTTCTCATTATTTCTGGCATCTCATTATTTCTTGTGCTTTCTCTGATACGCGTGCAACTTCGGATGGCTAGGCATTTATGTATATAATTACATATATACATGAAGTATTTCTGGAAAATAAATGGAACACATTCTTTCGATCCTAATATTAAGATAGCGAATGATCACGTTGAGATCAAAACCGACACGAGATGCCAACACGAAGTGTCCCTACTGGTTATACTGTGGTTACACAGCATCCAAAATTAGAAATAAAATTCTATTCCGAATTATAAATCGTTTAAAGTGTGGACTTAAGTTTTCTTCCTCGAGCCCCTTTATTATCTTCTTATTATAATCAATCAGGTTTTGATCAGACACTACAAACATTCCACTGTATTATCTATAACACGGTGTTTATACATTAAAAGCAGCAAATTAGATAAAATGTGAACTAAAATTTGATACATTTTACAAAACCATTTCATACTTGATGTTACTTGTAACTATGAATTATATGATTATTAAAATCTCTGATATGAAATATTTGTAAAATTAAATAGCCCGTATTTTTAGAGTAAATGTAAGAGTAAAATTTCACTTCACTCATAATCTTATAAGTTAAAAACGTATATCTTTCGGAAATTATTTTAGAAACTGTTATAAAAATAAATAGGAAATTCTTAAGCTAAGAATATAATTTTTCGGTATTATAGATATTAATGTAAACATCAGATATAGACAGCAGTTAAATCCTTATCATATCTATTTTGCACGTACTGTTGTTGACGATATCACATCATACTTCATATCGCAAAAGCATCTCGACAACACGATGAACATAACTCATGTTCTAATCCCAGGTTTCCGACACGATGCCGTTTCAAATTTGGGACTCATTTATTATAGGTATTACATTTTCCTTTTAAGAAAATTATTTTTTAAATGGAAAATGTATTTTACTGTTATTATTGTTATAAAACAATATTTTTCATATTTTACATCAAAATCTCATTAATTATAAAAAAAAGTTATAATATTTATTTTTAAAAATTTGTTTTCTTTATTTTAATTAATATTGCATCAAAACAAGCCCACATAAAAGTATCATTTAGTAGTCTAATATATAATAAAATATAATTATATAATTATTGAGAGAGACAACTAAAGTTAAAAACAATTAAACAAAAGGACTAAAACGTAAAATAATTCTATTATATTGAAATGCTTTTTAGAGAAACAGCTGTTATATTTTTTGAAGAAGAAGATCCGTTAATGCGTAAACCAGAAATTGCCCGTTTAATAGGACGTTCAATAGCATATCAATGCTTTAGCAATCGTATCAGTCCATCTTGGTGGTCTTACATGTGGTTAATCGAGGGTATTACAACATTGCTCGCATTGGATGCAATTGATGAGGTTTTTTTATTTAATATTATTTCCAATAACAAACAATAACATATATATTTAAATTAAACTAATGTAGTAAAGACCTGCAAAGACTCTTTTTAAATAGTTTTATTCGTATATTATATAATTTAAAATATAATTATATTATACATTTGGCAGAAACTTATTAACTACTATATAAATCTTACCTAATACAAAACAATTATTTATAAAGTGCAATGCAGTAGTGTTGCGCAATGCATCTTTTGCTGCTAATATAAACATCTAATCTAATTAATTATTGATTATATTAAAATTTTTCATTTCTAGAATTATCCAGATTTCCGTATGAAAGACTTGTTTGTCGTTCAGACTCTACAAGAATCTCTTCGTTTCGATGATAATTTCGTTATGAAGCCTCTTATAACAGAAATACGAACTCCTTCTGAAATTGAATCAATTTTTTCAATGTCTTATTATTTGAAAGGTAAGATATTAATTGAACAATCTATAAGTTCCCAAACGTAAATGTTGTAAAAGTATAAATTGTAAGTGTTTATCTTTATTTACATATTACGTTTATATGTATTATAAAAGTGAAAAAAAAATAATTCGAGAGAATAAATTTATTTTTTACAAGATTATTTATCTTTACAAATATATACGTGAATTGTAATGAATATTTAAAATATATAATTACATTTTATAAATTGACTTTCCATAGCACCATCTATACTACGCATGTTACAACTGATGATATCAAATGAGATATTTCAAAAGGGTATAAAGACATATTTGAGCGAAGAGTAAGTCAAAATAATGATATGTCAGTGACATATCACATTATTTGTAAAATTTGTCAAGCTGCCACACACACACACACACACACACACACACACACACACACACACACTCTCTCTCTCTCTCTCTCTCTCTCTCTCTCTCTCTCGCGCGCGCGCGCGCGCGAGATTTTTTTAATTTTATGTTACCAAATACAATACTTTTATTGGAGTGTTTATTAATAGTAATGTTACTATAAATTTTACAGCTCTTCTTTAGATCATATGACAACTATTGATGCTTTCTGGACTGCTATACAACGTGCTTATGATATTTCTCCAATCAGACGTGAAGGATTAAGCATAAAGCAGTTGATGGATGCTTGGACAAAGCAACAGCATTATCCTGTGGTGAAGGTCACACAATATAACTCTCTCGTGAAAATATTTATTGAAAATATGAATACTAATCAGAAGAGCTGGTCGATACCTTACACCTCGGCTACGAATGCAAATAAATACAGTTCTGCTTTTTCTTTATTTACTATACCTTTTAATATGCAGTTTCCTTTAGTGGGAGAAGAATTATTTTTAAATTATAATATAAATAATTGGATTATAATTAATATACAACAAATAGGTAAATATCGATTAAGAAATGTATTGTGCTTAAATATTTAATATATATTATATAATATACAGAAATTATGCGTTTCGCGGGTTATCTCTGTGTTCGTAGACCCATTATATTATTAAAATGTCAATGTTTCGTGAACATTCCAGTTCACTTCATAAAAAAAGCGAGAATGAAGTAAAATATCCTATAATATATTCATTTTTTTAAATAATTTTTATGTAATAATTTTATATATGAAATAATTAGAGGAATTATATTATATTATTGTACTGGATGAAGCATCTAAAACAAAACACTGGAATGTCGAAAATTAAACGCGGTAAGAAAAAATGTTTTAGACAAAAGTTGTATGATTCACAGGGAACAAATAATGATGAAATTATTTTGCAAAAAAATTGATTTTTTAAAGTCACACGGAGGTTACCTCCACTTTTTTAAACGGAATGGTATGATCTTTTTACACAGTATGCTTTCTCTAATTATTCTTAACATAAAAGTATTACATAGTGATATCAAAAAATTAATAGTTTACAAGATACTTTATACTTTATTCCAACATAGGTCACATATAGTGACATAAAATGTTAAATAATTAGTAAACTATTAATTTTTTTATAATTATGCCTTAATACTTTTATTGATAGAATATTAAGATAAATCAATTAGTGGAAAAAGAAACATATAGTTGCTTTAAAAAAATATGTATGCAAAATGGATAATTTTTTAAATAAGCAATTATATGTGCTTTCTTTCCACCAACTGATTCATCTCATTATTCTGTTCATAAAAGTATCAAAATACAATTATTAAAAAATTAATAATTTATGAATTATTTAACATTTTATGTCAATATGTACCACAATGAAGTATAAAATGTCTCGTAAATTATTGGTTTTTTTGATATCACTATTTTTATACTTTTATATGCAGCATAATTAGAGAAACCATTATTGTGTAAAAAATCATACTATTTTGTTTAAAAAAGTGGAGGTGACGTGATCTTGAGAGACAAAATCAATTTTTTGAAAAATTATTTCATCATTATTTGTCCCTCTTCAAATCATACAACTTTTGTCTGAAACAATTTTCACTACCGTATTTAATTTTCGAGATATTCCGATGTTTTGTTTTAGGTGCTTCATCCTGTATTATTGAAAAAACCATGCATGTAATTCCATTTAAAAAATGATAACAATTTTGAAATCTCAAACATATAATCTTGATTGAAAACAATTCTTGATTGTACAACAGGATATTATCGTGTCAAATACGATAAGACTACTTTGGGACAAATCTCGGAATACTTAAACTCGGATCATATAAATGAAATACCTGTCCTCAACCGTGCTCAAATTATCGATGACGCATTTTACTTTTTTATGAGAAACGAAACTGATTTGAATGTATTCTTGAATCTCACGAAATATCTATGGCGAGAGACAGATTTTATAGCATGGTATCCTATGTTTAAAGGTCTTGAATACATGTCGATTTTCTTTCATTATCAAAGTAGTTCATATATAAAGGTAGGTAATAATAAATTTTGTCAATAAAGTATGTAAGATATTAGAATGTAATTAATTTTATATTAATTATTTCTTAACAATCTTTAACAAATTAGTATATATATTGAAATAAACTCTTTTCGATTTTAAAGTTTAATTAATTTGAAAATATAGAATATTAAAAGCTTATTATCAATCAATTTTACTTATTTAGTTTTGAATAGAGCAATTTTTTTCTAATTTTTATTTCCTTTTAAACATATTTATTAAACAAGTAACACTCAAAGTAAAATTTTAAATAAAATGATATATTTTTGTAAGAAGTTTTGTAATAATCAGTTAGCCAACATGTATTTTTTTTAATTACTTTGCACAGATTTTAAATTCTTATACTTTTCTGATACAATAATTTAATATCAAAACAATAAACATCAAATTTAATTAATTGGTTACGTTCCATACAATTAAATTAATTAGTTTACATATAAATGTATAATACTGTAGTATACATGTTTAAAAATACACAAAATAATTTTAGATAATTTTTAATTTATAAAGATAACAAAAAATTAATGATTAACACATTTATTCAAACACAAACACATACATGCACATACGCATAATTTTTTTCATTATCAACATAACAAAGAACCAATGTAAATATTATATTATTTAATAATTCTTATAGAGAAATTTGCTGAGAGCAGTAAATACAATTTTTGTTAAAACAATAAAAGATAATTCGGACAAATTGTTCGATATTAGTTTAAAAGAAGAGATTTCGAGATGGGCATGTATTCTTGGTTCTTCTGAATGCAAGAAGGAAGCTTACTCTAGATTACAGATAAATTTACAAAATGAAACGTAATTTAAATAATTATTTGTATTATTTTTAATTTTTAATAGTAAAAATAATTTTCATATTTATGCAATGCTTAATGAATTATTTGATCAAGTTGAAGTACTACAAACAAAATTAACGTAATTAATTTTTATATTCTCTTCCTAATATTCTAGTGTTTTGCCTTTGAAGGAATGGACATACTGTAATGGTTTAATGATAGCAGATGATGATACTTGGTATTCAGCGTTACATACCATACATACCGGAAAACCTGATTTACCTGATTATATGTATCTTAAATTCATAGCTTGCTCTAAAGATTTCTTTATTATTCGTAATTATATAGAGATCATAAGCTCAGCACAGTTTTATAATAAAACACAAAAAGATTACGGTCAAGTTTACATTTTCCATTTTGTCGTTGCGAGACATGCAAAGAATGACACCATGCTTGATTATATATTAGCAAATTTGGATGGAATAAAACCCAGGTATTTTGATTTGGAGATATATCGTTTAAATTCGTAGAAAAATTAGTGTATATACTAATAATAAAGCTCTTTTATTTACGTAGAAAAATGCCTGTCACTGTAGCATTAATAGAAATTATTAATCACGTGTATACTAAGGAGCAATTAAATAAGGTAAATTATAGTACTTCATCAATATTATATTTATTATTGTACCTGTTTTTTTATGTTATACACACACACACACGCACGCGCACACACACGCACACGCGCACACACGCACATACGCACACACACACATATTCACTAAAAACTAAAATATCAGAAATACTTATTTTTTAAATATAAAATTAATATAGATTACGAATAAGTATCGAAATAATTTTGTTTTAGATTACTCATTTTGTGGATAAATATTTAACATTGCCAACTGATGATTCTTCATTTGAACATCCACTTATGGATCATAAACTATATAAACAGGTAAATTTGATGTATTTAAAACATATTTATTTAATTTGTCTTTATTTAATTAATACATTTATACAAAATTTTTCTTACATGTATAAATGTGTATAAACATCCATAACACGCATAAATATTCATAAACATGTATAACGATATATGAAATATGTCCATATATATTCATACATCTTTCTTTCTTTCTTTTGTAAAATTACTTTTTAGTGTAATGGAAATGATAATTAATAGAAATGTGAAAACATATAAAATAATTAAAAGGATAATTTTCGCATTGTTTGTTTAAAAAAAAACAAGTTTGAAAAAATATTTAAAAAATTGCTCATACATAATTATATATTTAATTATACATAAATAATTGTTTTACATTTCTTCAAACTTGATTTTTTTTTTAATAAATAGTGCGAAAATTACCTTTTTTTAACTATTTTTAATGTTTTCACATTACTATTATTATTTCTATTATACTGAAAAGTAATTTTATAAAAGAAAAAAGAAGTATAAACATATATGAACATTAGAATAATTATACATGAATATTTATGCGTATTTATGTACATTTATGCATATTTATACATATTCGTGCATGAAACATTTTTTACCTTTTATAATTACATAAATACATTATACACGCGCCCAAGCTGGATAGATATGTATTGTCCTGTTCTAATTATAATCTGATAAAGGAATAATGTTGTGTATAATTTTTATTGTTTAATATTATATTATTATATTTGTTAATGCTATGTATATACATTTTTAATTAATTCAACAATTTGTTTTAGGTAAAGGCATGCACAATACCTGAATTACCAGAGCTAATAATTCTTGTGAAAGTTTCATTGTTTAAACACAAAATAGAATCACGCCTACTTGAAATAACTCAACAAGAAGAATACTTTCAGCGGTATATTTAACTTATTATAAATAAATTTATGTAATGTTTAATCAATGTGTATATATACGTCTACTTTTGTCATAAATATAAATAATAATCTGTTTGAGTTATGTACGTACATATTGTTGTTTATAATAAATAAAGCATATTCAAGAATATTTACTAATTTTGTTTTAATTTTTGTTTTAAATTGATCTAAATAATAATTTTTTGAATCCCGGTAAAAGAAATTTCGTGTTGAATAAATACGTATAAACATTTATAATTATATATGAAATATAATATCCCAAGCAGAACAACAAGTCGCGACAACATCAAAATGACATTAAAATAAATCGAGAATAATTGAAAAATGACTTTTAATAATCATTTTGACATCATTTTGATTTGTTGTTCTGCGATCCATGCGCATATCATGTCCATATATATTTCTTTCATTTGTAAAATTACTTTTTAGGATGTTAAAAATAATAATAAGAAAATATTGAAAATAATTAAAGGAATAATTGTTGCAATTATTTATTTTCGAAAAATCAAGTTTAGAGAAATATAAAAAAATTACTCATATATAATTATATTATAATTATGTATAATTATATATGAGCAATTTTTTTATATTTCTCAAAATTTATGACTACTAGATGTAATATACGATATAATTATAATTATATATTATCTAGTAGTCAACTACAAAAATCATTCAAGAATCAAAGCCATGTGTTATCCACTGGGAAAGTTTAAATGCTTACTACGTAATTCGAAGTACATATGTCATAAGTATAGAGGAGCCAATGTCACTTGGATTGCTGGAGTTTTAGGTTAACTAGTGAGCGGCAAACGCAGCAAGACGGCAAGACCGGTCGAGAGCGCGGTGCGTCCAAAGTGCCATTGACCAGCTGTGAACAGTCTGACGATCCTTCCGTCAAAGACACCGCGCACCGACGAAGAAACGAAAGGTCGTCTAATTAAACGATAAGCGATCATGGCAACGCCCACCTGTGATAAGAAAGCGAGAGTGATCGTTTTAGGAGGTGAGGTATCTTGCTATATATCTATATGCCGGCTGTGCGGAGCGGAAGAGCGATAAGACGGTGACGGCTGAGACCTTTATCCGTTTGCGGTTACAGGGTGCGGTTTCATCGGCCGCAATCTCGTGGGGTATCTACTGGATAACAATCTGGTATCCTACTTGCGAGTCGTGGACAAAGTACCGCCGCAGACTGCGTGGCTCAATGCGGAGCATCAGAGGGTGTTCGAACATCCTTTGCTTGAATTTAAGAGCGCCAATTTGATTAATATAGGTAATTATAACCAGGATACATCATAAAACAGGAGTTCTGTTGAATAAATCAATTTACATCTATATAATTGAAAGAAAAAGAATTTTTCAAGTTTTAGTACTTGCTAAAAAAATAGTTAACATTCCCTTTCTCTTTCTTATCCATTATTGTTATTCTCTGTATGATAAGAGTAATCACTAATTCATCACGTGTCGCAGTCTATTATAAAGTCTATTATAAAAAAATATGATATGAATGATAATCTTTGTAAAAGGATAATTTTTATCCTATCAAAGTGTCCTGCCAAAATGCATTTTCCTGTGACGAGCCTATCGATTATGTGTTCAATTGTGCTGGAGAGACAAAGAGTGGTCTCACAGATCCAGTGTATAAAGAAGGTATTTACAAATTGAGTCTGAACTGCGCCCAGCAAGCGGCAAAGATTAGAGCTTTGCATTATGTGGAGATATCTTCCGGCAACCTTAACGCTTCAGAAAAGGTATCTCTCTTAATGCCATATATTTTAACGCGAATATGGATTCAGGATTGATCATTGTGCAATATTATATGTAGACTCCTCACAAGGAAGATGACGCCGAAGAACCATGGACATTTGTCGCAAAATACAAGTTACAAGTGGAACACGAATTGAAGAACATACCAGATTTGAAATATACCGTTCTCAGACCGGCTATTGTATATGGTTGCGGTGATAGAAATGGCCTAGGTAATTCTAGTTTCGTAGTTTATTTTGTTGAAAACTGTATTCTTTTTTTGATTAAAAAAAAAAAGAAAAAATATATATCTTGGCAACTTGCAGCACCAAGACTGGTAGTGGGTGCAGTTTATAAGCATTTAGGAGAGATGATGAAATTGCTGTGGGGACCACATCTTCATATGAATACGGTTCATGTGAGGGATGTTGCCAGAGCTATGTGGCACGTAGCTAACAGACCAGAAACAATAGGCCAAACGTATAATCTCGTGGATGAGGGAGATTCTACTCAGGGTTCTATCAGTGCCATAGTCTCGGAACTATTTAATATCAATCATGATTACTGGGGCACTGCGCTATCTACACTGGCTAAAGTACACA